TATTTTTCAGAGTTCTTTTCTGCACCCTTTCGAGTCGATCTACTTGTTAGGCCTCCGTTCTATACCGGCGACTGGAATACTCTACGAGGGGTCTGAGGAAACCGGTGTAGATGGTGCAGAGATCTTCGATTGGCAGTCTGTGGCCTAGCTTTCAGGATCCTAATAAGGGGTATTCTTCCATTGGCACGTGTTATCATGAAATCAACATGATCACTCCACTTCAAATCACAGCAGATATTGTCCTATTTAATTCTGAGAGGTGCCTCTTTTACTTTGACAAGTGCCTCTTTTCCTTTGTAAGAAGAGCCCCTTCCCCTCTTAATAACTACCCATATTTTAACTCGGATAAGCGCACCTTATACGTTTACATGTGCCCATTTTCCTTTCTAATAAGTGCCCCTTTTCCCAATGATAAGTGCCCCATTACAAAACAGCCCCTTCTCTGGTAAATGACCCTGTTCAGGTACGAGAAATTACTCATTTTCACCTCGGATTTTAAATGCCCCTTTAAAATCTGATCGGTGCAAATTTTCTAATGCACATTTTTCTTTATTACAAGTGCCCCTTTTTCATTCACACAAGTACCCCTTTTCATATCTGGTCATTGCCCCCTTTCAGGTGCGATAAGTGCCTCTTTTAACCTCTGATGATTTCCCTTTTAACAATGATACGTGCCCCTTTTCCTTTCTAATAAGGGACCTATCCCCTTTTCATAAATGCCCTCATCATGACACACTCCCTTTAACTCCGCCATCATGACATGGTCGAAACCAATTCATAGTCACATTATTGTCATGACACTTCTCCAATATGAACAGAGTTATAGCAGGTGTTAAATTCATGTACCGGTACCGTACTCACTCCCTTTGTTAGTCATGAAGCTTAGGAACTGGAAAGTTGATATGCAGCACGCATAGGTCAGTCATTAGACCTATGTTATTTACTCTTCTTTATAATTTCATATCATTTGTCGAATAACCACACTACTTCATGTGTCACTTGCATATTGTCCCTCTGTAAATCATTCAGTGAGGCAATGGCCCAAGCTGGGTTATCCATTCCAGCAATTAGCACCGTTTAAAAATAGAGTACCATGTCACCCCTGCAGCCTGGCACAGCTGCAGCTCCCGACCGAGACGAAATAACGGGAAGTGTCAAAACTCAATGGCCTGATTAATACAGAGGGGAAGAAGAGAGACATGAAGTAGTAAGAGAGAAAAAGATAGAGAGAAGAAGATAGAGGGAAAGTGAGAGAAGAAAATAAAGGGGTGGAGTTTATGGGCTAGTTACGTACAATATCAAGTGTACACAATTCATAATTCATATTTTACATTATTAGTTTGTATATTGTAAGACATTGTGGAGTACAGATTCTTGTTTTTTTTCTAAGTATCGATTCTAAAAGTAAATTCATTTTTTTTTTTTGGTTACGTTCTCTAAACTGATTTGTACCAAAATACTTTGTTTAGCTGTTTAAGGGGTTAGGCTCGACTAGCACATGTGCTATTATCTGGCCCCTTTTACGAACCAATAGTTTCTATTCCTGTATATGTAATTATTGTATATGTAATTACTGTATAAAATGTATGAAATGTATTGCTGTTGGTAATAAATCAAATCAATCAATGTACACCCAGTGGATTGTAGTTACACTCCCTTCGCTAGCCATCAAAGAATAGAATCGGGGAAGTCGATATGTAGCACGCAAGACGCTCAAAAAAATGTATGCATGTCCATACCTCTATGTCAATCATTAGACCTACCATGGTATTTACTTCTCTTTATAATTTCATATCATTTGCCGAATAACCACACTACTTCATGTGTCACTTGCATATTTTCCCACTTCAAATCTATTCAGTGAGGCAATGGCCCAAGCAGGGTTATCCAGCAATTAGCACCGTTTAAAAATAGAGTACCATCTCACCCATGTAAAAAATTCCATACACATGTACATGGATGTATTTAAAGGGAGAGAAAACCGGTAAACAAAAATGTTGTGACAGAGTTACGAGAGAATAAGAAATTTTGCTAACACTATGAACATGACTGACAATGAGAGCGGACAAAATATACAGTTCCTCAGGTAGACAAAGGAACATCCCTTACTGCTATTATGTAAAAATGTGTAGAACAGGTGTCACATGCATATTCACCTTTTTACATAATAGCTGTGAAGGGATGTTCCTTTGTCTACCCGAGGAACTGTACATTTTGTCCGCTCTCATTGTCAGTCATGTTCATAGTGTAACAATCTTCACTGTAAGCCATTTGCATATGCGATGCGGTCTAATTGAATTATCGTACTAGGCCCATTTACACATCCCTAATACTATTGTAAATTAAACAAAATTTTAAAAAATGTATTACTGGTATGAGGAATTTTCTTATTGCTTTCAGATAACACAGAAACTTTAACATTCATATTTATGCTGCAACTGGACAATGCAATGCACTGACAATACAATGTCAGCATAAGTTATAAACGTCAATGTAAAAGAAATTATAAACTATTCATTACCATTCCAATCATGACAAGAAAAAAAGAGAAACACACAGGCCGTTTGAATTTGCCCTATCCAGTACAAGTAGTAGCTTTTTTAATCATTATTCTTAAAAAAAAACAAAAAAAACAATGATCAAAAAATACTCCATCAATTGAATGTAAATACAGAAACGTCAACAGAACAAAGTTATCTCATATTTCAAATGCTATGTAATGTATATAATCCATGTCAATTAATGTGCTGCCAATTAATAATAGTATTACGAAAATTCTATGTTCTTTTATGTTAGAACTACAAGTGCATCTCAAGCCAATCCATTTAGATATTTCAAATGGTATTTTGATGAAGTCATAATAGCTGACATAACAAAAATACATACAAACTTATGTGGTTTACAATAGAGACTACAGTGTTATTTCTGATGGCTAATAAAATACATGTTAATAATTATATATAGACAAAAGATATCTATCAAAAAAAATCTGTGAGATTAGAGCAACAAAAATAAATAAACATCATTTCCCTCAAATCCTACGTCTACATGCTTCAGTCCTTCAAACATCCTCTGTATCTTTATGTTCATAAAACAAGTTCAATTTTCATTTCAAATGGCAACTTTTTATGTGTGTTTCCAGATGTGTTCCACATACATACTGTACACCGTCACCCATACCCAATGAAGCATTTTACATGTACATGCATGATGTAATGTAATTATGTAAATATCTGTTCAGAAAATAAAAATAAAATTTAAGAATACCAGTATACAAACTCTACTTGATATTCATTTTTTAATGTATGTAGTACAGCATTTCCAACACAATTCAATTATGAAACTTAAATACTCCTCGAGGCTCATTAGTCATTACCATATCATTATTGAATAGTCATTTCAACAATAACTTTCTTCTAATCATATAAGCTTGGTGTGAGCTATACGAAAATCAGTCTTAATTTGCCTCCTACCAACATAGCCCCATACAAAATACCCTTACATTGGTCAGACCAATGTAAACAAACAAAAAGTATTGAAATACATGTTCAAAGTGCTACATACTCGAGTTTTGATTCATTTTGGTCCCTGCTTTTGTCAAAATACTAATTATTGGAATGAAAGTTGCCCAAATAGAAATTGACGATTGTAATTAAGATTTGAGTTTACCCCTCCCCCACCAAAAAAACAAAAAAAAAACAAAAAAAAAAACACCCAAACATGGTCTACATGATTTTGAACGTTTCTATGCCCATTTTTAGTTTACTCAAACCAACACCTCTCATTGACCTCTTGAAACCAAACACAACATGCTCAAACTGACACATGAAAATGCATAAATGCAGACAGTCAAAGAAGTACTTCCTTCATTACACACAAGTTTAAAGATGTGTTACCACTTTGAATCTCGAGCAAGAATATATTGGATTCAAGAAATATGGGTTAGGCACTGCCACTCGACAGCTATAAAACACACCTACATGTATTACACAGTATAACGCACAATTTTTCTAGCCAATCTTCTCACTTATTGCAAATGATCTTGAGATAGGCTGGAAGCATTATAGAAAAATGAACACCGACAGTCCAAAAGTTAAACCTTTCCAAACAACTACAATTTCTTAAAATCTTGCATCTTGCAAGCCTATTACTGTAGTTACATGCAGGATATGCAGTGTCAAGCACATCCATCTCATGGAAATTTTGAAATAAAACTTGAAATGGGGTAGGCCTACCAGTAGATGCTATTTCATCTCTGGGATATATGATAGGTGTGAGAGTTAATGACAATTAGGTAAGTTTATAGTATTAATGAAATACAGGCTCGAGTATTTAGTTTATTTTTCAACAGCATGGTACAACAAAGTTAAATTGCTTGTGATTCTTAAAATACCAAGTACCTAAATTCTTACATTTTAGCCAAGATAAAATGAATTTTCAAAATACCATCCCTGGCTTCCTGAGAGAAAAAAGCATACCCCATGATGCAACTTGGATTTTTACATTTTGTTTTCGTAGAGAGTAAATCATAAATTGCAACATTACCCCCCACGTTTGTGTACTAGGATCTAGTCATCATGGTTTCCCTTTTAACAGGGTATGATTGCTGAAAACTTATCAGGCCCCAATGCCCCAAATTTCTACATGTGAGAAAACAGTACAGAGTTTGCATTGAATTTGTATATACATGTACATTTATATATATATATATATATATATATATATTTATACATGTATACGTCTACCTAAATTTGTGGCTAGAGCAGGCGAGAAAAATAGCTACAATTTCACTATTATGAAATTAAAATGGACTATCAAGAACAAAAAAGAAAGTCCTTAATGAAAGAATAATATATATCACAGGAGAATTAAATTTTTCTTGAAATTTTACCTGAAATAAAATTATGTTATGTAAAAACAACATTCTAGCCATCTTGTTAACGGGCAAAAGCAATGTTTTAGGTATTGAGCAAAATCTATACTATTGTCTCACCAGATGATAAAAATCAAATCCAAGCTTTAATGGTTAAGATCAAGTTTATGAATTACAAAGATTTTCAAACATGAAAAATGGCATGGCATCAGAATTGTACCATAATAACTTTATAAAACAAAAATTCATAGGTTCCATAGCATTTTTATGACAAATGAAAATCTGTAGTTAACATCATGCAATTTCTATGTCTTTTAAATGCAATTAATCTATCTAATTGCCTTCATGGACAACATTGTACAACTGATGAGAAAAAAATTGAATAATATTTGTTAGAAGTGCCGCACACAATAGCCAATTGCTATTAGATGACATGCCTAAATCCATAAGCAAAAGAAAGAAAAAAATCTTCCAAATCCTTCGTTTTGAGGAAAGTTTTCAAACAGGATGTTCTTCTTTACAAAATCACTTTCATAACATTTTCTATTTTTGGTATTTAACAGTTAGAACAGCTGTTGCATGTTTTTATACAAGGTAAACCACTACCTTAGACTAAATAACAGTCATGTTTAATGGATTAGGGTTTCTTTTCTTTATAACAGCTATTGATGTTTCCAACACTTGCACATGTACTCAAGATACATATTTTGTTTCTTCAAATTAAACATAAAACAGTTTGTTTGCCCCTTTTAAGTTTTATCCCTAGAAGGGTTTTGTCACATAACTTTATACTAAATTGATCTGATCCTGTAGCTGTATAAAATGTAAGTATAGTTTTTATGAGTGAGTGTAACATCTCCAAAAAGCTGATGTGTTCAGTTAACCAGCCATTCAAACACATGAAGTCAAGGAGAAGACATGGTGTTCTTAAAATTATTCCTTGAATCTTCCGTTTTTCTTGAGCTCCTTTCCTGTCATCCAACCTCAAGCCAAATCTTCTTGCCATATACAATATCCTATGGTTGGGCATACATTACATACTCAAACTCTCCAAATATTCTGCTATTACGCCAACTGCTTTATTCAAATTCCCTTGCTGGCCTCCTTCTGGGCAATGACCGATTACAATCGCTGTAGAGTGAAAGAAGAGACATAAAAATAAATGTGTTAGAAAAGTGTTAGGCTAGAAAAGTCCGGTAATGAGACATAGTAATTTGGTACGAGGTTGCCAGACACGCCTCCCTGTAATAATCATTCCGCAGTCAATTTCCTACAATAACCTAATTCCGAACTAACTGTGGACCTTAAAGGCATCGTTTAACATTGTTAAATCTGAGATGCACAGCCCTACGTGATAGCAGTGTCTGTGATATGGTGTAATATTAAAGCCCTAATAAAAAAAAATCGCGCTTCAAAATGATCGAGAAGTGCCTCAAAAAAGTAAAAATCTTTGAGTGACCGATTTTACCATACCGGTACTCGTTTTCCCCAATAGACTGTAGTGTTATTTAACCGTTTTGCAAACAGTTTTTAAAATTTGTAATTCCAATCATAAATATCTTGATAAAATCAGACAGGCGATCGGCTTGTAAAATTTGTGGGGTTCCCGACCGACCTAAAGGTTTATTATTATCATTGCAGCATGAGCAAAATCTATGATTGTGTTTTGTAATCTGAGACAAAGTTACCGGATTCCTTTAACCCCAACTTGTCCATTGATATCCCGGCCCCTGGGTACCCAGGGATGGCCGGAACTTGCACATGAGATGCATTTTTGAAATGTTAAACCCCAATTGGCAATTTATGATCTTTTTCTGGGATTCTTTTTTTGTTTTTGTTTTTTTGATTTGAACAAAAAAAGGATAGCGGTTAAACAGAATGGGAAATATCTGTAATGTTACAACACTTGTCACTATAAACCTGCATAAGCTTTTCATGGATGGGCCTTGTCCAGATGCCCAAAAGTGTGTGTACTGTAGGCTTAGTGTACTGTGTACACTCGCATCTCGCAACAACAAATATCGTAAATTTTATGTGGTACACTTTTGAACTGGTCAAAAAATAAAAATTTGATGCCCTGGAAGGGAAATAATTTCCTTTCATTTGCATAAAGTACCATAAATAATCAATGGAGCAAAATCTCAAATTTCTGTGTAGAAGTTTAGTGTTCCAAATTTAGCTCTACCAGATAAGGCAAACCAAATCAAAATCAGTCAATAAATGAGGAAAAAGAAGCAATTTTTGTTCTTTTTGGAATAAATTTGCATAAATTACCATAATTAATGGAGAACAATTTCAAAATTCTGTGTAGAAGTTTAGTGTACCAAAGTTAGCTCTACGATATAAAGCAAAATCGGTCGAAATATGAAGGAGAAGAAGCATTTTTTTGAGATTTTTAAATTATTTTTGGAATAAATTTGCATAAATTACTATAATTAATCAATGGAGCAAAATCTCAAGATTCTGTGTAGAAGTTTAGTGTTCCAAGTTTAGCTCTACCAGATAAGGCAAACCAAATCAAAATCGGTCAAGAAATGAGGGAGAAGAAGCAATTTTTGTTATTTTTGGAATAAATTTGCATAAATTACCATAATCAATCAATGGAGAACAATTTCAAAATTCTGTGTAGAAGTTTAGTGTACCAAAGTTAGCTTTACCAGATAAAGCAAACCAAATCAAAATCGGTTGAGAAATGAAGGAGAAGAAGCATTTTTTGTGATTTCGAATAGATTTGCATAAATAATGAATTTCACGATTCTGTGTAGAAGTTTGAAATCCCCCTCCTAGCCCTATCATATGAAACCATCAGAATCAAAATTGGTTGAAAAATAACGAAGAAGCATTTTGAAAATCTTGATGTTGATGCCAAGTTTCATTGACTAAGAACTTAATCTTAGGTTAAGTTTTCGATGATGATGCAACAACATAGTCCAAGTCTGTTGACCTGAAATAACCTTTGACCTTGACTTTGTGATCTGAAATTCTACTCACATGATTGGGGATACTTGATTACCATATAGTCCAAGTTTCATTGACTAAGGACTTATACTTTGAAAATTATATCAAAAATTCATAAAACTTAACCTTAGGTTAAGTTTTTGATGTTACCGCCGTCACCGGAAAAGCGGCGCCTATGTCTCACTGTTTTGCTACGCAGGCGAGACAAAAATGATTTATTAATTCTCATATTAAGTTGTGAAAACATCATTCAAGTCTACTGACCTAAAATGACCTTTGACCTTGTGACCTGGAATCCTCTAAATATAATCACATTTTGAAGTGAATATTGACTAAGAATCAACAGAAGAATTATTTACTATTAAATGTACCACTATCAATAACTTAAAGAAATAAATGAACAAATTAATCAAAAAAATTATTAATTCTCATATTAAGTTGTGAAAACATAATCCAAGTCTACTGACCTTTGAAATTTGTGTTATATGATTTGTGATACTTGATAACCTTTGGGTACAAGTTTCATGGAATTTGAACAATCGATTTTGAAAATATGCTAAAAATTCAAAATCTTGATGTTGATGCCACAACAAAGTCTAAGTTTGTTGACCTAAAATGACCTTTGACCTTAACTTAATGACCTGAAATATTACTCACATGATTGGGGATACTTGATAACCCTATAGTCCAAGTTTCATTGACTAAGAACTTATACTTTGAAAATTATATCAAAAATTCATAAAACTTAACCTTAGGTTAAGTTTTTGATGTTACCGCCGTCACCGGAAAAGCGGCCCCTATGTCTCGCTTTTTTGCTACGCAGGCGAGACAAAAATGATTTATTAATTCTCATATTAAGTTGTGAAAACATCACTCAAGTCTACTGACCTAAAATGACCTTTGACCTTGTGACCTGGAATTTGTGTCATATGATTTGTGATACTTGATAACCTTTGAGTACAAGTTTCATGGAATTTGAACAAACAATTTTGAAAATATGCTAAATATTCAAAATCTTGATGTTGATGCCACAACAAAGTCCAAGTTTGTTGACCTTAAATGACCTTTCATCTTAACTTAGTGACCTGAAATTCTACTCACATGATTGGGGATACTTGATATCCCTATAGTCCAAGTTTCATTGACTAAGTACTTATACTTTAAAAATTATATCAAAAATTCAAAAACTTAACCTTGGGTTAAGTTTTTGATGTTGACGCCACCGTCATCGCCGCCGTCACCAGAAAAGTGGCACCTATTTCTCGCTTTTTGCTACGCAGGCGAGACAAAAACATGTAACAAAATAAAATGAAAAACAAACCTGTCTTGCTGCTTTGCAATGTGAGTGATCCTTCACCTTTCTTTTTCCCCAACACCAACTTTGAGTCTTCTTCCCTTAAGAATTGGTATTTTGTCCCGTTAACATATATTCCAGAGGACATGAAAGCTGCGAAATCCTTCGACTTGAAACATTTTGCTATATTTGCCATCTCTTCCGGGGTTAGCTGAAAAATGAAGAAAAATGAATGAGATACTTTAATTTAAGAATTAAATAATATTTAGTTTTTATAAAGAGCTTAATACAAATGTCTCTTTAAAGCACTTTAAAAATATACTATTTTAGCTGCTAAAAGATGTCTTCCTCAGACAAAATGTCTGGCGCCGGGAGATTTTTACCCAACGGTCCCGACTTTTGGCGCCCGGTAAGACAGGGAAAATGAGTACCGGGCACCGGTCATTTTTTTTGTTTGGTGCCCGGTCTAGGAGAATTAACATTTCCAATTTCAGAAATTTCCACATGTCTAGCACTAAATGTTCACAAATGTGACAAAAAACTTACTTGATACGAGTTAAATATGGACCGAGTGAAAACCTTAATTTGAAAAACGATTCTCAAAATTCAGTATGTACATGGCCTGAATAATCACAATCCAAGCTTTGATTTCACAACTCTTTTCCTGAAAACTATCAAAAATCATGGCAATCATGACGGAAATAGATCACAATTTCGAAATTTCGGGCACGAAGTCATCGTTGGCCGATCAGGGGAAATGAAATGAATAATTCTGATCGCCAATCAATGAAAATGATCGGAAAATAATTTTTTTTTTTTTTAAATTAAATATGCCGACAATTTTCAAGTTTTGGGCTATCAAATACTTTTAAAAAAATGCATAGCTGGGATAAATTTGTTATTCGGAGTTGTTGTAGACCGTGTTTGTAGATAGTTAGTGTTTTTTCATGACTTTGAAATAAATGACATTAGTCTAAGAGAAGAAGTAAAATATGCGAGCCGCCATTTTGGATTTTATAATATAGGCACGCATTTAGTCTTTTTGCCTCTTCTCCGAGACCCCGTTTACAGTGAGAAAAGGGCCAGGGCCAGGGCCGGGCTGCGGCCGAGCCAGGCCTACTCGGCCCCGCAAGTAAACAATTATTTGGCGGGCGTGCCGGGGGTCACAGTGCAGATCCGGTCACGCGCGATTTGCAGTGAATCTTTTCCCCAACTTCCTATACACGGCAAACTTTCACTTCCGGGGTAACAGTTGGCCGCGCATTTGGCCCTGCATGCGTTTACAGTGAGAAAAGGCCGGGCATTGTTTACTATTATTAGTATTATTAAATCGGCGCCTTCAACCGCAACACGAAGTAAAATAGCGTGAGTTTTCGGAGACGGACCTGGGATATTTCTACCGTTGTATTATGGGTGTGGCATTTTTTTTTTTTTGGCCACTACCATACTACTACGGTAGTAATTAGGCCCGAGTCATGTCAGGATTTTTATAAACCGGGTCCCGACGGCCTTGCACCATTCGGGACCCGTTGTCCCGAAATCAGCTCGCAGGATTTGTCACTTGCCTCTATGAAAAGTGCATATCATCAGTATGACCCTTAAAAGTGACCTTTTTATCAATCAAATAAATCAACATATGCATGTACCTCGGCTCAGATCGGTATATTCTTTCATTTGACATTATTTTCACCCATGATTTTCGATGTTTAGTGCCATAATCATGCCTCTAAAAGTTTTTAAAAAACTGGAGCAAAAAAATATAAAGACCCGATGGCAACGGTTGGGATTCGGTGTGACCGACTGTACTGTCTCAGGCATAGTAGAAATATCCCAGGTCTGTCTCTGAAAACTCATGCTTTTTTTAACTTCGTGTTGCAATTGAAGGTGCCGATCTAATAATAACAAGTCAACGCAAAGCGTAGCATCCCCTCGCAGGGTACAAATGGCCTATATACATCAGAACAAGTTACCTCCATTGGACTATACTATTATATTACTAGGCAAGGAAGTTGACCACATTTTCACATCTGTAATTACGTGTTTTTGCATATTTAATGAGCTATGACCTTTCACCTTTGACCTACATACTCAAAAATCAAACTTAGGCTGTACATGTATTTTGATATCATGTACCTTCATATCAAATTTCATTAAAATTCGTCAAAAATTACTCAAGTTATCGAATGGAAACCTGATTTGCATATTTAATGAGCTATGACCTATGACCTACATACTTCGAAATCAAACTTAGGCTGTGTTTTGATACCATGAACTTTCATATCAAATTTCATTACAATTTGTCAAACTTTACTAAGTTATCGAATGAAAACCAGATTCGCATATTTAATGCAGGTGTCAATTGTATGACCCACCGTATGGACCCCGGGGAAGGTGCGTCATGGTTGGGTCATTTACCATCAAGGTGTGACTCAGAGTACCGTCATTTTACTCCTATGGTCAGTCACAATATTGACGGTGGGGTGTGTCGATGTCAGTCACTTTACATAGGTGCGTCACTGAATAAAGTACAGTGTATTCACGGCCGCTAGCGAAGCCCGCAAGCTCGCTAGCGCGGGTGTACTTCGTGAAGTCTAGTCCAACCAAAATGCCGAGTCGGCAAACTTTGCCCCAAATATTTTGGTATTTATATTTGTTAGAATCTCGTAAGCGATTCATTATTTTGGCATTTTACTTTCAAAAAGAAAATGTCAACTTGCTCAAAGCGGGATTTTAATACACACATTAATTGCTGAAAATCAATGTGTTCTTGCAAGCAATTGCCAAATTAAAGAGCGAAATTAATGCGCTGGTCACCGTAACACGAACAATGCAAGTACTATTACTTACGATCATACTTATAATACGATCTTCAAATTGATTTGTAATTGGCACTTAAATTTGTACTACTAACTTTCAGCTCAGCACTCGACAAGCTACAGACAATTTTTTCGCATAGGAAAGCACATGTATCGCAGATCGCCATGCGGTTGGTTTTCTGTGGGTTCAATACGTAGTGATCGGACTGAAGTAAGCGGCGTTTTAAATGCGCTTTTACGTTCGCAGCATCTTACGTGCCTTGAAATGTGTATGTAAAAGCCAGACATTGCGCGCAGTGCAGCGAAACAAACTCATCCATGTGATGAGTGTGAGATCCAAGTGACGTACCGCTGTGCATCACCATCGCGCGCATTAAAAAGACTTGAAGAAATATGAAACAAATCTGACCGTATGTATTCTGTATTTTACTTTGATTTTGATAATAGATCTAGAGCGTATTAATGATAGATTTCAGAAAAGGGAATATTATATAAAAACAAGGGCATTTTATGGTAAAGCCCTGCACCACCATCCCAGTAGATCTATCATAGATGTCTACTAGAAAACAGAAAACATTGTGCCGTGCACGGTGCAGGTGGGGGAACGGTATTGCAACAACAAATGAGTGCTCGTGCCTGGAAATGAGATTAGACCCCGATCGCAAATCAGGAAAAACATGTTCTGTATCATTTCGACCATGTCGAATGTGCGTCAAAATGACAGTCAAAATCAACAACTGGTGCGTCATAATTTTGACCGAGGTACCGTCATTGGTAGCCTGAAGTTCGTCATAGTTTTGCCGCATATGTGCGTCATGGTATAGTAAAATCCGACGCACATTAGACAAGTGACGCACCATCCCCGGGGTTCATGGGGTGGGTCATACAATTGACAGGTGCATAATGAGCTATGACCTTTGACCTACATACTCTGAAATCGAACTTGGCTGTGTTTTGATACCATGAACCTTCATATCAAATTTCATTAAAATCCTTCAAACATTACTTAGGGACACTGATTTTCCGCGATCACGGAAAACGGACTGAATGCACGGAATTTACCATTTGAGACGGAAAATGCAATTTCGAATGGAAAATCGGTGAAAACCCCTTTTACCTCAAAACTTTTGATTTTTCAAGAAGAAAATCGTAAAACTTACACTATTTTTGTGACTCGTTATGCAGTGAAAAAATATTGGGCCTCAAATCATGGTTAATAATCCCGAATATTTAGCGATATTCGTCAGATTCTTAGGAGACCGGGCGCTGCCATTTTGTTTCGCAGGACCGATAGAGATCGTGACACAAAACATGGTACAAATAGCAGCGAAACGATCCTATTATGCCAGCTAGGCACTATGTGCGGCGAGATTGTACAGTTCGAAAAAAAGGGGCTGGCATGTGCGCCTAAAATCGATCGATCGCGGACATGACAGCCAAGACTGAAATGTTTTCGTCGACGTCGGTACTACTCAGCCTTTCCGTCAGAAATATGTCGTGTTCTGACACATTCCGCTGACTTTAGTCTGCTAGTCTAAGTTCGAATTTGAAGTTGGTAAATCTAAACATTTGATAATTTTTTTGTAGGTCTAGCCTAGACTCTAGGGCCCGTAGGGATCTATATTTTCACTAGTATTTTGCATCAAGTTTATCCAGTCCCGTCTGTATGTTTTCGAGTGGTTATCAGTAGCTTGTCAAAGGTGGCGGCTTTAATAGAACATTTGTACCCTAAAAGTTCATGTTTTAATGAAAATCTGTAAACGGAATTTTAGTTTTTTCATGTGTACAAAGTCTATGGCAAACGCAATTTCCGTTTTTCAGCCTATCTGAAATGGAATTCCAGATTTTCTGAAACGGAAAATCAGTGTCCCTAATTACTCAAGTTATCGATCGGAAACCAGATTCGCATATTTAATGAGCTATGACCTTTGACCTACAAACTCGGAAATTGAACTTAGGCTGTGTTTTGTACCTTCATATCAAATTTCATTAAAATCCGTCAAACATTACTAAAGTTATCGATCGGAAACCAATTTGTTACGGACGCACACACGGCAGCGTTTCCATTTCCCCTCCGACTTTGACGGCGAGGGGATAGTAATACAGTCAAACCTGCTTTAGTGACCATCTGTCTACAAAGACCACCTGTCTACAAAGGCCACATTTGTTGTTTCCCTTGAAAATGGTTTCTCAATGAATCATGTACTAAAGGAACTTGTCTACAAAGACCACCGGTCTACAAAGGCCACTTTTTGTGTTTCAGTTGGGCGGTCGCTATAGACAGGTTTGACTGTAATAGTAAACAATGCTGTTATAAAAACCAAAGATGACTTTACCTCCCGAGTACAAACAGAAATCCAGACATTTAGTCCCAGTTTCTGAGTGGTGAGTAGAC